TATCGCCATTTCAGCTCAATTATTAATCACTTTCAAAGGTTGATTCAAGTCAGATGCCTCACGTCATTTCTGTGTTTGACCTTAGGAAGTGTACAGATCCCGTTCTGACAATCAAAGTAAGTACGCCCATCATTTTAATTCTTGTTCTTTGCTTTTTGACAGTTCTGCAATTTGGACATTAAGGCCCCTTAATTTTCCACATCTTTCGGTATTTACCAACTATGAAAATTTTTGCTTTTTGCATGAAGATTATGATTCTGAATTGAACAATCTTCTGTTCGTGATTTCCATATTATTTATCTTTGTGGTTTTCCTGCCTTTTTGAAGTTCTAACGATAATCTACAGAACTGAGTTCGTTTTCAGGATTCCCACTCAGACTCCATAAATAGTCTTGCGTTTATGAGGGACGGTCAACATCTAATATCCGGAGGATCTGATGGATTACTCAACATATTTAATGCTTCGTTTGCGAAAGAAGATCAAGCTTTACAAAGCACTTGCTCAGTAAGCGTCTGTATACCCATTTTTGTAATATACAAGTGATCCTTAACAAGTTTTCTCAATGCTTAGGTTGGTTCATCCATCAATCGCGTTAACAGTCTCTCAAAACGACTAATCTCTGCATGCACTGATGACAATAAATGTGCTGTGTTCGTTCCGAATTCTCCTGATGACGTTGATTATCTCTTCATGTGAATTCTTTCAATCATTTTGTTTTTGTTCTTAAATTAAGGTTCTTTTAGGCGAAATGGAGTTGAAGGTCGCTTTTTAGTAGATGCACTCAAGGGAAGTGTTGACGAGCGGCCAGTAGCGCTCCTTGAATGTGACGCAGAAGGAACGGTCAGCGTTCTTCCTTTTTCTTTTTCTCAATCTCAACAAATCGTCTTTTGGTTAATTTTGAAACTTTGTGAAGATGTATGTGCGTACCGTTTCGAAAGATGGAAAGCATTCTGAGGTGGTGATGGAATGGAAAGGTCACACGGATATTGTGCGCAGTTCTGCTTACAATAATCGCATCTTAGTCACTGGTGGAGAAGACGGCAAAATCGTCGTCAAAAATGTTGATCTCCGGTTAGTTCCAGAAGTTTGGTTCAAAATAAGTGTTTTATCTGAAAAAGTGATATCTCGGCATGACCGAGTCAGGATAGTTACACATAGTTCAGTTGCATCATGCTACCGAATCAACAAGCGCCCATTCAGATTGTAAATGAATCCCTACTTGTTCCGCATGGTAATGCCTTAAGGTCGGTAGTAGAAGGGCATCCGATTCCGTTGAAAAGTGATCTGAAGGGGTTTTTTTCAAAATGCAGTTACAGTTTTATATTCATTCAGCATAGCAGAGCACCCTTGAAAGATGCAGTAGGCGTACGGTAGGGGTCATCTCAGATTCACGAATCCACAATAAAGCGGTCTTATGCTGGATAAGGATATGTGTGGTTGAACCTTTCAGTCTTACTTTTCGAATCCATCAGTAAAACTTTGACTTTTCGAGTTTCATCTATGTATTAATTAATGAAATGTGGGAATAATACTGGCTCTGCTAAGTCCTTACTCTTTAGTTCTGCTTGACAAATTGTTAAATCTCTTAATAGCTTTCATATAATAAATTTTGTACAGGCCCGAAGGTGGAAAACCGGAAAAGAAGAAGGAGAAGAAAGATGGTGACAAAAATGACTCTGGGAAGCTAAAAGATAAGAAAGAGAAGAAGAAGGAGCGTAAAGCTGGAGAGCCATATTGAGATAGGTTTTCACCTTGTGGAAAGATCGTATAGGGTTTTTAAATAGTTATTTGTTTTCTCTTCTTTGCTGATCTCTGTTGTACTTTTTATGTGAGTTTTTGTCGTAGTTAAAGTAACCTGCTCTCAGATGTTAAGGGTCTAGAAAGTTCTTGTGTAAAAGTTTGAAAAAGTAGGGAGAAGCGTTCTCCATTGTTGTGCACTTTTGTAGTTGTAAACACAAATCTATCAAGGTTCATTTGTTTTGCATTAAATCTGAAATATGCGCACATTTTCGCCTTTCTTCTGGGCCATAGATAATTTTACTAACTGTTGGTCTCATTGAAGGTAAGTTTCCTCCTACTCTGCTCATGTTATTTGACGCTGGATGAGCACAGACACTCTGTTTTTTTTTCCTGTCAGCTTTGTTTCTCATTCTGTCTTTTTCGTGTTATCTTGTTTTTCCCTCAAACTTTGTTATCATTTGTTGTTATTGTGTTTTCCTGCTGTGATCATTTCATTTGACGTTTTTTACGTTAGCTTTTGCTTTGTTCGTTGTTGTATACACCTGTTACTTTTTTCTTGTGTGTTGCTTAATTCAACAAAGCAAAGCAAAAGCAAGGAGAATAAATGTCAAACATCAATGATTGCAGCGGCAAATCATGAAATAACAACAAATTGGATGTGGGACATATCAAAGTAGAAGTAGTCGCATTATCAAACTAATTAATAGCACAAACAACTGAAAAGAATTGGTGTTCCTTCTAATAGACTCATATGGACTCACTCTCAAAGATAGAGCAAATATGACTCGCTCCTTTGAAATAGGGCAAAAAAAAGAACGTTGTCGTTATAATCAATCTTTATTTGGTGTTGTGTAATGTACCTGAATTCTCATTGATACAACGACTTTTGACTAAGTTATTATCTCCAGAGATACAGATTGAAATTGAGAACTATGCCAAGTGTTTGAAATTATGCTTATATGCGATCGGCAAATTTTCAGCATGCGGCACTATAGCTTCTCAGAAGGAATTACGAAGATGTGTGTGTAAATTATAAAATCAAAACTGATTCGTCTTTGTTCCATTTCTCTGCAAAAGTTCTATGACGTTGAGACTTTGACTAATCTAGCATTGTTTATGTTTTGATGTTGACAGTACCTCAGTAATTTAATAAATATTTTTTCTAAATTCAGCTATTGATGACATACTTCAGAATGAATGATAAAAAAGTCATTTTGGATGTGAACAATGAGAAGTATTTAAAGCTCATCGAATATGAACGTTCACTAGGATTTTTACTGCACGAATATCAAATAGGAGGCTAGCCTTTTCAACTAATATGTCGCTCGCTGATAGGGAGGGTTCAAATGATTCAAGAAATCGATGAGTTAACATCAGTGTTTTACTATGAATCCAGTGCTGTTGACATGAAGGCAGCCAATTTTTCACATGGAATAAGGTTTTGTTGTTAATAAGTTGAAAAACTGCGAGAGAATGAGACTGCTTTATTTATCATATGGAAATGGCCAATAAGATGTGCTCTAATAATTTCGGACACATTGGACTGATTGA